TAACTCAGAGTTGGTTGAACGAAATTGTTTCAGCTGTTCTGAAACAGAAAACTCAGAGTTTCCAATCTCAGGATAAGTCAACTCAGAGTTCAAGTTTTAACTCAGAGTTGGTTGAACTTCCTTATTGAAACAGGCCCCTGGTGTCAAAGTGGTTCCAGAAAGGTCTGAGTGGCTGCAGGTTTTCTTTCCAACCAACCAATAACACAACAGACTCCAGTCAAGGGACTCTGGTGTGCTATTGGTTGGTTGGAAAGAAAACCTGCAGCCACTCGGCCCTTTCTGGAACCACTTTGACACCCCTGCATTAGAGAGTGGTCAACCCAACCTGTTACTATACAGAGGGAAAGCAAAGTATAACAATATTACTCCACACTAACAAAGCTCCAGAAACCTCCAAAATATCGAGGGTTCTGGATCGTATTTCATGGATATAATTTCTCCAAACAGTGCTTCTGTAAAGAACCATGCAGCTGTATCATTCTGGAGCGACTTTGTATGACAGAACCTCATTACTATGGTGAAAGCTGTCAGGCTTTGGGATGGGCCCCACATGGAGCAACAAATATGAGCATTGTTTGTTCCAATTTCCCTCTTGGCAGTCCATGAAAAGAGCACTGGGAGCAATCCAGACACCAGGCTAGCACTGCAGAAACAGAGCAGCTCAGTGACCACAATAACAGGACATGATGACACACAAGCACGACTCACAGAAAATGTACAGCAGTGGTTCTGGGTACAGTCTGTGGACAAATAACACACACACACTTTGACTGATTCAGCCTCCCTGCAACAAATACTGACATTATAAGGGGTAAAGTAATCAACAAACGCAAAGTAGACCGGAAACCTGCCACTATTTTTTATCACACCAGTTTTCAAGTTCTTTGGCAAGAAGAAACAACATTGAAGATTAAAAAAAAGCATTAAAAAAAGTACATAACTATTATTGATTCAGTCTTTTCTTACCCTCCATTCTCCATCATAAAACTAATTCTCTCTAGTTGCTGTTTAAAGACCTGAAGGTAAATAAGCTCAGGTTCTGCTGTCATGCATCAGAAAAACGTTGCATTTAATGTCCAACTGCAGCTTTACCAACATCTTAAGGTTCAGTTCAGCATCAGGTTGTCAAGTAATTTCAGTTTTGAAAATAATACTTACCAGATTTTAGGAATCCAAGAAATACAAGTGAGAAAATCTTGTAAATCTTTGTGCCTTTAGAAGGAGCATCCTTCTCTGTCCACATCTTGAGGAAAAAGCTTTGTTTTTCTCACCAACTGCCAGCATGATTGGTGACTCTGGGATGAACGGAGGACACAGTCCTTCATTCAGGCCAGGCTGGAACTGAGTACATGTTGTTCTCAAAAGCCGCTGTATAAGCAGGACAAAAGTCTGTGTGTGAGTGTATGTGTCACGGTTTGTTTGGACTTTTAATTCTGGAATAAAGCTGCTTTTATTTTACATATGAATATGACTGCACTGTGAAATACATTCTTTGAACTCAAATCTGTCTTTATGTATATACAGAATGCCAAACAGCCAGACCCAGTAATCCTGACAAAAGTAAATCTTGTTTTTATGAAATAAGATTTCTGTATTTATTCAATTAAGAAAAGAATTAAATATATCAAAGAAGTATGGTGTAAATATATTCAGTATAAAATTCTACATAGGCTCTACTGAACCCCATAAAGACTTTTTAGAATAGCATTAATAAATGGTAATGTCTGCGGGAAGTGGAAAAATGCGTATTTTTTACATCCTATATGGGAGTGTGCTTTGGTCAAACCATTCTGGGGAAAAAATACTTCAATTCCTAGAGACATGGATAGACGTAACTCTCCCTCTGTCCTCGTCTAAACAGCAATACCCCAGCTCACAGTGTTGATGGTTGGGCTAACCTCAGCTGCAACCAGGGGCGGATTTACCATCAGGCAATACTAGGCAGGTTCCTAGGGCCCCAAGTTCCTGGGGGCCCCATAAAACTCTGTTTACATGTATGGTTGATACAACTATTCCTTATTTGTGCAGATT